AAAAAAAAAAAAAAAAAGAAGTAATCAGAAGCTATGGAAATCATCCATACACGTTATATGCACGCTGCACTAAATTTATGTTTCACTTATGCCTTCAAGTCTTGACACCTCTTTCGGTGGGACCACTGCTCCGCGCTGAGCACGGACAAGATTTGCCGCTCCTGGCCGGAGCTGAGCGCTCCATCCCTGCTCATCCGCAGGAGCTGCGGGAGCATCCCCGGCTCCGCTGGCCCCGGAGTGGAGCGGTCCCGGCTGCTGCTGCTGCCGAGACAGCGGCACACGAACCTCCCAAAACCCCGGAGGGCGGACAGATGGAAAGGGATGCATGGAGGCGGCGAGGCCAGCGCCCAAAGAGGGTCAGGGAGGGAGAGGCGATGTCGGGGAGCGGGCGGCGGAGCGGGAGCCCGCTGCCGGGCGGGGGGCGGTGTCCGGGATGTGTGCCGGGGCAGGGCCGGGCCGGGGGTGGGGGTGGGCGGTGGATAAACCATAAACGCCCCGGCCGCCCCGCCCGGGAGGGCGGGATGAGCTCGGGGCGCAGGTAGCGGCCGCAGCTCCGCGGGAAGCCGCTGCCGCCCGCATGGAGACCCGGCTCCTCCTCGGGGCGCTGCTGTGCGCCTGGCTGTGCCCAGGTGAGGGTCCCGCCGGCCGGGCAGGTTAGTGATAGCCCGGATGCCCTGTCCGCCCTCCCGGGCGGACAGGGCATCCGGGCTATCACTAACCTGCCGCCCTTGCCTTCCAGCCCTGTCTCCGTGGGGTGTCCGGGCGCAGCTCCCGGCACACCGGGACCTGCCGCTCCCCAGGTAAGAGCCGGCCGGGACCCAGCGGGGATTTTGGGGCTGGCTGGGTGGCTGTGCCGCCCGGGCCGAGCTAACCGTGCTCTGTTCTCCCCCTCAGCCGAGGCAGCAGCGCGGGAGCCCGGAGCGGGGGCGGCCCCGGCGCGGCGCCGCAGGTGAGGATGCGGGCCGGGCTGAGGAGCGGCGGGCGGGCACGGCTCACCTCGCTGGGCTCACCGGGCCGCTGCCGTGAGCAGCTCCCCGCCGGGCGGGCCCCGGAAAGAGAGCATCCACCACATTGCATCCAGGGCTCCCGAGGTTGATGGGTTCGGGTGGTGCTAGGCTTGCCAGCGCCGCTGCCCGGGGAGACCCCTCTGAGGGGGACTGGCGGTGCGGGACAGTTCTGCTTGTCATCAGGATAATGGACTTCTCGTGTCTTGCCTCAATAATGTATCTGTACATTGCTGTGATACTGTCTGTATCTTGGGTGGCTGTTCTACCCTTGGTAATTCTTCAGGACTTGCCTTCGAATGTGTATTTATCCCAGCCACGAGAACTGCCAATCCTGAACACAAGTTCAGTGTTAGAACAGTGAGAAAATGTTGTATGATTGTATCTAGAGCTTTAGCTGGTTCAAGAAGTTATGTGTTGTACAAAGCAGCCTTGCTTGAGGAAAAGCTGAGGTCTGGTGTGGCTCATCAGCAACAATTGCTTTGTGGGAGCCTTTTTGCTTCTCGCTGCAGGTAAACGAGCTGGCAGTATCGGGTCATTACAGCTCAGCACTCAAGTTTTTGGATGTGGTTTGTCTTGGCAACTCGACTGTGTCACTCATGGCACGTTGCTGAAATGTAATTAGGGTGTGTGGTTCCCGCTCCCTTGTTCCAGGGTGGGAAAAGGAAGGATTGCTTTGTTGTCCTTGTTCGTGGCTCCTCAGAGGGTTCAACTTTCTCTCTGCTTTCTCCCTGCTCTTTCTGGGAAAAGCTCAGCAAAGAAAAAATGCCACATAACTGCAAACAGGTATAACCAAATCAACCACCAATAATAGTCAATGCTCCTGGATTTAGGTTCTCCCACCAAGAATTCAAGATATAGTAATAAACTTTTTGTTTATTTCTGGGCTAGCCTGCTGAGCAGGAATCTTCACCAAGAAAAAGTATATTTAGGAGGAAGAAAAAAGACATTGGAGTAGTGTCTTGAGTAGAGTACACTTTTTACTTTACAATGGAGTTTTTTGAGACCTTTATAGTAAGACAATACAAAGCAATCATCTTACTAAAAATGGTAAATTTACTGACAGACTGAAGAGACTTTTAGGTGTCTTGTTTATAACTTCTGATTTTGTTGTTCTTTCTGAAAGGAGTCTGGATTGGCAGTTTATAACACTTCACCTACAACAATGTCCTTGTCTCGAAACAGGAGAATTCACAGTATGAAATGTGGACCACCCAGTAAGTTATTTATATTTCTACATAAAGTGACTTCTCTTGTCCCTTATTTTCTGCATTGTTTAATCATTCTTAGGAAGAAAAAAAAAAATCCTAAAATATCTAATACAAACTTGAAGGATAATGAGATTCTACCTTGTTTGGTCCCAAAGGTACCCTGGAGTATAGGAATTTGTCATGGAGTTTTA